GACGAACCGAAGAAATGGACAAGCAAAGTTATTAGAGTCATGTGACATCGCAATGTTATTGCTACGTGTCACAATGTATTGGGTCTTTTGGACATCTACGTCACAAGCAATAGGCCCGCGATGTATCAAAACATTTATGCAAGTCACAAAATCCAAAGTAATCCCCACCAAATCCGCGGCGCGTCCGGAGTTTTCTAAGTAGTTAGCGGACGCAAGATGCGTAGGAAAGTATTTTCACGGTCGGTAATCCCGAGCAATCATCATTGTAGGGTCCGTGGTTGTGGGCGGCACCATTGGCGAGGGTTGGTGGAGGGGGGTGGAGGGGGTGGGTCGTGAGGTCAGGCCGGGGTCTCGTCCTTGAGTTCATGACGGAGGTGCGATCAGACTACGAACCTGTTTTGTAATCAATTTCGCGGGAAATTTGTCTAACTTTGAGTACATGGTTTAATAGAACCTTTTTTGTATTCGTGATACGATAATTAATAAGATTACTTAGAGGCTGATTTGGTCATTTATGAATTATTACAACAACGCTAGGTGCATATTTCAAGTGTAATACGGATACAAAGTAAAGAATGGGATGAATTAATTGTTGTAGTGTTTTGACTGACTAAGATCAGCTTGAGAAGAGCCAGGCAAATTTTTAGAAGCATGATGATCAAGGGCAGGTCGGTCCCGGAATCGGATTTAATGCCATCTGAGAACCCTTTTTCGCGAAGGGTTTGTAGAGTAGGATCATTAATCGCTAAATCTCTTCAGAAAATTATGCTTGGTCACAACTTGCGTCTTTTAATAAATCCAAGATCTCCAAATATCCGTGGGGGGCGTTGGATAGTCGAGGCAGGAAACATGGACAATAATATGTAAAAGTACCCTCTGAGGAACACATACTACTACTAGGAGAATATGTGAATATTGTATTGTATGTGAATATGAGAATATGACCAATGCTAGCAACTAGCAAATAATCAAACGTTTCTCGTTTTCAAGAAAAAAAACTTGTTCTTAAAATAACAAGCAATTTAAATGAATATAAACTCAAGACGGTTCAGGTAAAACAATTAACCCAACAACAGCCTACCAATAACCTAACTATATAATTAATCTAATATTCTAACAACAACCCTGTTGGGTGGAGTTAATTCATGGTTTCCTTGGGGATAAAGAATAGATTTTCGAGGCTGGAAGGGAGGTCGTTATACAACTTTGGTTCAAAGTACGAGAACCTTCTTATCCCAACTTCAGCCTCGCTCTGGGAAAGTAAAATAGGAAGGTTCCGTGGTGGGTTCTGCGTCGAGATACCTTCTCCCGGAAGGAGAGCCTCGGCTGCTGTAAAACAAGAACTTTGTTGTATATCAGGCACTAGCAGCACGTCATGATCCTGCAAACTATATTCTCAGTCATCCCTAATGCTGCGTTGTAGGCCTATGTAGTGACATGTCAATATATTTTAAGGCAAAAATTTAACGAAATCAGAGTTTTCAAAGGTGGACGCCTTTATAAAAGATCCACACATACGGAAGTCAAATCGGCTCATAGCAATTTTCTTCCGTCCCTGTTAGTACGAGTAATTTTAATATTTCAAGTATAAATTTCTCAAAACTCCGATGTACCTCAAGAGCGCTCTAACCAACATTTCATGAAAATACCTACTACCACTACAACCGAAGAACACAACAAACAGTCCAACCTCTCGCCGAGCTAAACATACCTTTGCAACTAACAAATAATTGCAGAGTTATTACCGCGGGAAGAAAGAGACCTAAATAACCGTAAGACACGACTATCCTCGCGGAACAATTTGGACGCCGTCTCGTATTTAGATGATTGCGGGGATGGACCACAGAAGTCTGTGAGAAATAATTAAGATGATTGCCCCCCCACAATATAGCCCCCCTTGATATTGCCCCCCGCTGGGCTGCTGTCTTCACCGTCTGTCACGACTACCTCAGCCGTGACAGAGGCTTCATGAGGAGCTTATAATTGAGGTCTACAGGAAGATAATGTCCGTGTGGATATCGCGAGTAGAGCTGTACTTTTCAATTACTCAGGAGTTGGTTGTTAGATTGCATTTTTCAATTATTTCACTCTTTAGCTTTGCGTGAAAGGAATTACTCTCCTGGTAAAACTTTAATTGTTAGTCATGGCTAGAATAATCATCGCGAACATTTTGCATCGAGCTTTGGAATTTGATTCTTCCTCGGGTATAGTACCCAAAACTTAACAAGATTTTTATGCAAATCAGACTTAAGCTGGAAAGTAACGAAAGAAAAATTACGAAGAGTATAATTAAGTAGAAATATTAATTTGACATTGGTGCACTCTAAACGTTAACAACATTTTAATTAAGTCATATTAAACTTTTACGAAAGGATGGGAAGTCTACTTTTACTCAAAGCCAACTATCGAATAGAGTGAGAAGCTTTGTGTAGATTTTTACATGATTACCAGCTAATTCCTTAGCAAGAACCATTTTAAACAACAATAACAAGTTTGACAATTTAAAACCATCGATAAGTAGCATTGATCCGATAATGTCGAAGGAGTGTGTATGGTCAGGCACAGTTCCGAAAGGTTCTGTTCTGAAGAGATTGCGTAGCTGAGGTTGTTTTGAAAGGCACTGCACCGAAAACGTGTTTGGATCAGTGCATCTCTAAATTATGCTTAGAGTAATGCCAGGATCCTAGAAACATTCGTTGTACAAAAGGAAACATTGATTCTGCATCCAACAAACACACAGTCGTGATCTGCTCGCGCGTGTTCCCCAAGAGTGATGTTACTGCGATCAAAAATACAAATATGTCCGCCCAATTGCACATTTCACGGCGATATTGATGCCTCCGATTGTACCGCGGTCCGCAGTGGGCCATCGTTAGCGAGTTAGTTATGATAGATGGCGGATAACGAGCAGAAGAACCGGTTCCTTATGTAAAAGGTCACAATATTGGAACAGCGTTTGTTTTAGAGCCGGAACCGTTGTCAGTACGCTCGTATAGTAGTTCGCGTTTATTAAAGCAGTGTAATCTTTTGACTATCCTGAATGTAATGGCAGCAGTTAAATTTGTCGTAGTTTCTGTTGCTAATGTGTTGTGTTTTGAATGTCTTGTTTGAAAGAAAGGTTTGTCTAGTATTTAGATCTTGGGACCTGGATCAAATTTCACTAACCACCAGATTTTTTAGTTATTTGATAATTAATTTCGGGTTATAAAACTAAAAGGACATCATTGGCGAGGGGAACTGTGTGGAGGCTTTTCTCCGCTAAATTTATACGATAATTTGTAGTTTAAAAGACTGGTCCATCAAATTATTTTTCTTATTCATGCATCAAAAGATTTGTTTTACTGAAGTATTTTTGCTAAACTGTCGAGACAATTTAATTCATGAATATTTACCTGTATACAATATAATCACATATAATGGTTGTTGGAAGAAATTTGGGGAATACAAGATAAATCAGTAAGAGATGTCGATGAAATTTTAATAGTTTAGAAGAAATACCTAAAAGTTCAATTACATTTAGTTTAGGCTTCCACACTAAAATTACTTCCTAAGAAATAAAACTTCTATATAGATATAGACTACTACCAACATCTATGTACAACTTTATATCTCAAAAGTTCCAATTCCACGTAAATTTTTTTCAGCTCCTTTACACAAACGAATTTTTTGTGCTATACGAAAATATTTGGGCAATACAAAATGTAAAACTAAACAATTTCTTAAGTGTCGCGAATGACATAATCTTAGTTCAAACTATATTCCGTAGGATCGTCATCTGGTTTTCAAATTGACCATTTCACCACAAAGCTATGTGATATCCTTCACACACCTCGTCTCAGTGTAACAGCGAATATTTCTCGTCACACTCTGTGGAGTTATTGCTGCAGTCTGAGACGAATCGATCAGGAGGAGGAGGCTGCCGGAACAGATGGTCGGCGAAGACGGAATCCTTGAGTTCCAAGGATGTTTGATTCAGGTTGCAGACAGGTTGCTGGATGGTTTCCAATAACAGGGTCACTGTTTCGTTTATGTTACTGAGGACCGCGATTACCTAGGTATGTGGTCGAGTCCTTTATGGTTCGCTACGAAGAAGGTTAAGTTGATCTAAATGAATATCTATTGGGCCAGTTACGTATCTTATGTCAGTCTGGTTTAAAAATGGAAACGTAGCACAATACAGGTATGAGCAGGTTGTTAATCTTAAGCTTTTGGTGCCACTTCAGCAACCACGGATTACTTTACGCGGGTATCTAACCTTTAAAAGTTTAAGCCACAAATCCGAAAGCTACACACTTCTTTTGGAAATTAAAATTTTATAGGTATTCTCATTAGTATGTTTTAGTAGTCTAAAAAGTATGAGCAAAACATGCGTGTTATTTTATGCTGGCAGCACTGCTTGGTTATTTACTCATTGTTTACCCGCCCTGTTTACATATCCATTAGTGACAGAACTTAGTGTTGACACTTGTCAAAAGCTCAGTTGTCGAAGCTTCAAAACTAGAGCTTAAGGGTTTTTTACGTTAATTAGTTCACTCGTATTGTTGTTGGGGTAAGAGGCTCAGTTTAGAAACTCAATTGTCGGAACCTTAATTGTCAGAATTCCAGTGTCAAAGCTCAGTTTAGAAGCTCATTTTCAGAGCTCAGTTTAGAAGCTTAGTGTCAGAAGCGCATTGTTAGAGCTCAGTTTAGATTCTCAGTGTCAGAGCTCAGTTTAGAAGCTCAGTGTCCAAACTCAGTTTAGAAGATCAATGTCAGAAGCTCAATTGTCGGAATGCAGATGGACGGAAATTCAATCAATATCCATTGAGCGTGTAACCACAGTTTACGCGCTGATGCCTCGACACGGCAACACCGGCGTTCATCAACCGACAATTGGGAATCACTAGGAGAATCACTAGGAGGATCACTATGAGGATCACTAGGAGAATCAAGAAGAATCACTAGGAGGATCACTAGGAGAATCACTAGGAGGATCACTAGGAGAATCATTAGGAGAATCACTAGGAGAATCTAGGATAATCACTATGAGAATCACTAGAAGAATCACTATGAGGATCACTAGGAGAATCACTAAGGGACTCACTAGGGGAGGAATCACTAGGAGAATCACTGTGAGGATCACTAGGAAAATCACTATGAGGATCACTAGGAGAATCAGGAGAATCACTAGGAGAATCTAGGAGAATCACTAGGGGAATCACTAATCACTAGGAGAATCACTAGGGGGGATCACTAGGAGAATCACTAGGAGAATCTAGGAGAATAACTAGGAGAATCACTAAGTGAATCACTAGGAGAATCACTAGGGGAGGAATCACTAGGAAAATCACTAGGAGAATCACTAGGAGAATCACTAGGATAATCACTATGAGGATGACTAGGAGAATCACTAGGAGGATCACTGGGAGAATCACTAGGAGAATCACTAGGAGAATCACTAGGAGAATCACTAGGAGAATCACTAGGAGAATCACTATGAGGATCACTAGGAGAATCACTATGAGGATCACTAGGAGACTTACTAGGAGAATCACTATGAGGATCACTAGGAGACTTACTAGGAGAATCACTATGAGGATCACTAGGAGAATCACTATGAGGATCACTAGGAGAATCACTATGAGGATCACTAGGAGACTCACTAGGAGAATCACTATGAGGATCACTAGGAGAATCACTAGGAGAATCACTAGGAGGATCACTAGGAGGATCACTATGAGGATGAGTAGGAGAATCACTAGGAGAATCGCTATGAGGATCACTAGGAGAATCACTAGGAGAATCTAGGAGAATAACTAGGAGAATCACTGGAATCACTAGGAAAATCACTAGGAGAATCACTAGGATAATCACTAGGAGGATCACTAGGATAATCACTAGGAGGATGACTAGGAGAATCACTAGGAGAATCACTAAGACCATCACTAGGAGAATCGCTATGAGGATCACTAGGAGAATAACTAGGAGAATCACTAAGTGAATCACTAGGAGAATCTAGGAGAATCACTATGAGGATGACTAGGAGAATCACTAGGAGAATTACTATGAGGATCACTAGGAGAATCACTATGAGGATCACTAGGAGAATAACTAGGAGAATCACTAGGGGAGGAATCACTAGGGGAATCACTGTGAGGATCACTAGGAAAATCACTATGAGGATCACTAGGAGAATCAGGAGAATCACTAGGAGAATCTAGGAGAATCACTAGGGGAATCACTAATCACTAGGAGAATCACTAGGGGAATCACTAGGAGAATCACTAAGACCATCACTAGGAGAATCGCTATGAGGATCACTAGGAGAATCACTAGGAGGATCACTAGGAGAATCACTAGGAGGATCACTATGAGGATCACTAGGAGAATCACTAGGAGGATCACTAGGAGAATCACTAGGGGAGGAATCACTAGGAAAATCACTAGGAGAATCACTAGGATAATCACTAGGAGGATCACTAGGAGAATCACTATGAGGATGACTAGGATAATCACTAGGAGAATCACGAAGACCATCACTAGGAGAATCGCTATGAGGATCACTAGGAGAATAACTAGGAGAATCACTAAGTGAATCACTAGGAGAATCACTAGGGGAGGAATCACTAGGAAAATCACTAGGAGAATCACTAGGATAATCACTAGGAGGATCACTAGGAGAATCACTATGAGGATCACTAGGAGAATCACTCTGAGGATCACTAGGAGAATCACTATGAGGATCACTAGGAGACTCACTAGGAGAATCACTAGGAGGATCACTGGGAGGATCACTATGAGGATCACTAGGAGACTCACTAGGAGAATCACTGTGAGGATCACTAGGAGAATCACTATGAGGATCACTGGGAGGATCACTATGAGGATCACTAGGAGACTCACTAGGAGAATCACTGTGAGGATCACTAGGAGAATCACTAGGAGGATCACTAGGAGGATCACTAGGAGGATCACTAGGAGAATCACTAGGAGAATCACTAGGAGAATCGCTATGAGGATCACTAGGAGAATCACTAAGAGAATCTAGGAGAATAACTAGGGGAGGAATCACTAGGAAAATCACTAGGAGAATCACTAGGAGAATCACTGTGAGGATCACTAGGAGAATCACTATGAGGATCACTGGGAGGATCACTATGAGGATCACTAGGAGACTCACTAGGAGAATCACTGTGAGGATCACTAGGAGAATCACTAGGAGAATCGCTATGAGGATCACTAGGAGAATCACTAAGAGAATCTAGGAGAATAACTAGGGGAGGAATCACTAGGAAAATCACTAGGAGAATCACTAGGATAATCACTAGGAGGATCACTAGGAGAATCACTATGAGGATGACTAGGATAATCACTAGGAGAATCACTAAGACCATCACTAGGAGAATCGCTATGAGGATCACTAGGAGGATCACTAGGAGAATCACTAAGTGAATCACTAGGAGAATCACTAGGGGAGGAATCACTAGGAAAATCACTAGGAGAATCACTAGGATAAACACTATGAGGATCACTAGGAGAATCACTATGAGGATCACTAGGAGAATCACTCTGAGGATCACTAGGAGAATCACTATGAGGATCACTAGGAGACTCACTAGGAGAATCACTATGAGGATCACTAGGAGAATTAAGAAGAATCACTAGGAGGATCACTAGGAGAATCTAGGAGAATCAAGGAGAATAACTAGGAGAATCACTAAGTGAATCACTAGGAGAATCACTAGGGGAGGAATCACTAGGAAAATCACTAGGAGAATCACTAGGATAATCACTAGGAGGATCACTAGGAGAATCACTATGATGATGACTAGGAGAATAACTAAGAGGATTACTGGGAGGATCACTAGGAGAATCACTAGGAGAATTACTATGGAGAATCACTAGGAGAATCACTAAGACCATCACTAGGAGAATCGCTATGAGGATCACTAGGAGAATCACTAGGAGAATCTAGGAGAATAACTAGGAGAATCACTAAGTGAATCACTAGGAGAATCACTAGGGGAGGAATCACTAGGAGAATCACTAGGAGAATCTAGGAGAATCACTATGAGGATCACTAGGAGAATCACTAGGAGAATTACTATGAGGATCACTAGGAGAATCACTAGGAGAATCACTAAGACCATCACTAGGAGAATCGCTATGAGTATGACTAGGAGAATCACTAGGAGGATCACTGGGAGGATCACTATGAGGATCACTATGAGGATCACTAGGAGAATCACTAGGAGAATCACTAGGAGAATCACTTGGAAAATCAATATGAGGATCACTAGGAGAATCACTATGAGGATCACTAGGAGACTCACTAGGAGAATCACTATGAGGATCACTAGGAGAATCACTATGAGGATCACTATGAGGATCACTAGGAGAATCACAATGAGGATCACTAGGAGAATCACTAGGAGGATCACTAGGAGGATCACTAGGAGGATCACTATGAGGATGACTAGGAGGATCACTAGGAGAATCACTAGGAGAATCGCTATGAGGATCACTAGGAGAATCACTAGGAGAATCTAGGAGAATAACTAGGAGAATCACTAAGTGAATCACTAGGAGAATCACTAGGGGAGGAATCACTAGGAAAATCACTAGGAGAATCACTAGGAGAATCACTAGGATAAACACTATGAGGATCACTAGGTGAATCACTATGAGGATCACTAGGAGACTCACTAGGAGAATCACTATGAGGATCACTAGGAGAATCACTAGGAGGATCACTAGGAGGATCACTAGGAGAATCACTATGAGGATCACTAGGAGACTCACTAGGAGAATCACTATGAGGATCACTAGGAGAATCACTATGAGGATCACTAGGAGACTCACTAGGATAATCACTATGAGGATCACTAGGAGACTCACTACAGCTTGGAGTGGTAAGAGTAACTTATTTTTCGATACGGTCTTCTGGATAAATGTTATGTCCTCGGTGTTATGCCATGGTTGTTTTAACGATGAGTGTAATTACATCATCAACATGGCGTTCATGGCGTCTTATATTGACTGTTGGATACAGTTAGCCATGGTATATAAATATCAAAAAATGTATACAAAACATGGTTATAGACTTTTTATTAAAAGAGGTTTGAAATGAAAAGGTCCTCGTATCTGAAACGTCCTTCAACAGTGGATGTAGTCATGATTTGAACCCAATGTCCCAATGGAACCAAGTGGGCTTTTCACTTCAATACATCATTCGAAGCCCGGTTGTTGTAGAACTTAGTTTTAAAAAGTTTTAATCATTATTACAAGTTTATAGTTATGTTTTCTGTACGAGTCAAAAGTATAAATCTCTTAAGACTTATAAAACGTGTATTACTGTAATGTATCTTTCCTAAGAGTCTTCCGAATTTCAAAAGAAACCTGGTTATTGGCCACGTTGAAGGTAGGAGGAGATCTTGTGTAAATTTACATTCAAACAACGTGCTTGGCCGAGGTACTTACCTTCATGTCACGTGGTTTGTGTGCCCTCTCTCTCTATGTTTGAGGCGCACATGATAAGACTATAAACTATGAAGTTAAGTGATGTGTGATAGATGCGGCCATGCGGGTGAAACAGAAGTACTATTTTGTAAAATAAAAAGTTCTCTTTGCGCTAGCCACCCAAACATACACACGATTGTTCCCATACTCAGATACCTTTTAATTGGACTATCAATTAATGACGTAATCTAATGTCAACGTAAAATATTAACAAGACAAGGGTCTGGGTAGTTCCTTTACGTAAAACGTTAAAATGCTTAATGCCTACATACACAAAATAACAACTCATAGTCTTTTTTTACACAGGTATACATTCAAACTAGGTAGGTTTCCATGGTCAAAGTAGACACCCGAGTATTTTTTTTTGGGAAGATATCCGCTTGGTGGTGTAAATACTGTAGGACACAGGTACACGCTCTCATGTAAACAAGCTGTTAAGAAGAAATTGTTGGAAGTTTCTGTTGATTGAACAAATAGAAGACGAGGAAATTTCGCCTTTGACGGATTCCAGATATATTTGTACGTACTTTTCTTAACAAGCTGTCCATTTTGTAATTTTAGTTTGTTGTGTCCATTACCACTGTAGCGTTTCCATTGTCTGCTTAAAAATTTATTAGTTGAATCGCAGCCTTCTCCGAAGATGAATAGTTTAGCTCTTCAATCATCCGTTTAGACTGCGAATATTTCCCAATAAATCATCCAAGAATCGATTCGATATTCATACAGTATATTAAAATGTTTGTACACTTTATACACACGCTAAGCATGTCCCTACAGAGTTTTACTGACTCCAGCCTCAATGTAGGCGAAGGGAAAGGCATTGACTGGCCTCTCAAGGTGAGGTTTTGATTAACTCTAGCTGCAGACCTTCATTCTTCCACAGGTAAAGGTTACTCCAGGGTTTTCCCATAGGTTTAAATCCCATGTTATCTACAAAATGTTATGTTTGATGATTTATATACCCCTCCCTAATTAATTTAGAAAGGCTACCCACAAATTGTCTAACGTGGTTTATTACAATATTTAACGCAAGATTGTGAAATGATTTTTTACAAGTTTATTTTTTATCAAAATTCATGTTTCTGACCCTGGACCATATTGCTATGGTAGCGATATCTAAATTTGTGTGTATTCGTACAATTTTTATGTTTTTTTTCGTGTCTTCCTTGTTGTTATGGTGTTTTGACGAGTTGCAAGCTTTGAGAATGTTGTCTTCTCAGCGAAACATGTAAGCTGATGAACAATATTAATCGTTGGACTATTTGACGGAGATATTTAAAACCTGTTATTGTCTTGATTTTTATTTTGGCGATTTTCCAAGCCAGAAGTATTTTTTGCGTATTTTGAGTGAACTGTGCAAACTCGTACTCAATAAAAACCATGACTATATACTGGTTAATTCTTTAACTGGAACAAAATTTAAAATATCTTTTGTGAAATGTACAGTACTTTACCTTGCTTTTCAAACTGGTAAATAACTAAGCAAACTTCAATCAACCTAGCTATAAATTAATGATTATGCAATAAAGGTTATTATATACACTTGAAGCCATGTCACAAATTTTGAAACAACTTCTCCAAAAATCAATTATGGAAAAAGATGAATTAATCAAGCCTTTACGGTTCAAGCCAGCGTATTCTAATTAGAAAAGAACTTAGTCACACAATAATGATGAACCAACCAAGCTGGTAAGAACCGAGTAATTTTTCTTCTGCTATAACTCCAATCAGAGAGTGTGAAGCAAACAAGTGTAACTCAGAAATTAAATCGAGTTCAGAGCCAATTTGCATGCAACCATGAATCTTTCTGTTTAAATAACCGCCGCGGCGCTTGTACTTGGTGTTGTAACTCTTGTTTTTCACTTTCATAACTTACCTTTTCTTTCTCGCCAACTAAGGTCGAGGCTTCTTACCAATTAGCATTCCTAGTTGTGAGTAATCGCGCAGTAAAAGTTGTTTAGCTTCTAATTAGAGTTGAAGTAAGATACGTACTAATTATCCAACATTCGCTAGATGATTAATTACCAAAGTTCAATAGTATAGTAGTTACAGATTCATACAGAATAGTTATTTGTGCTAGTGTGTGAAGTGCATACGCGTTTAACATTATATTTTTCCTACAGTTACGGTAAAACATTTAAATAATTAAGTCTTTATCTTTCAAACACTACACAACACGTTTTTAGGTTAGGTTAAATCAAAGCGTTGAACATGGGAAACGCTGCACCATCTGATCGTAGTCGTAGTATCTTCAAGTTTTGCCAACTTATTTTCAAGCGTACACGTATTAGTGCCTAATAAAAGCACTGCTTTTGTGTTGTTTGGTTGGAATACCTACTGGAGTGCGGCAAAAGTAAGTAAATGAAGCAATTAGCTACTTTGAGTGCTGTAATAAGTGCAAGGAAGCCCTCTTTGTCAGGTAACACTAGTATAGGAACGATTAAGTGCTTATTTTCAATCTGCATATGTTTCATGTACTATAAAGTGAATCGTTGTTAAATACGATCGATTCTATACGACAGATTCAAACCAATCAGGGTTGATAACTTCCTTCCATTTTCCAGTCACTAAAAATAAACACAGCCCAGCAAACAATTTATGGCTGGAAAACTTCTCTTTGTTACCTATAGCCTGTAGCGATGCCATTCAGAGCTTCACCGTTCGCTGGGTTTATCACTTCCAGTTAGTCCCGGAGGTTGGTGATGGTGTGGCGACCCGAGGCATTGCTGGACCGAGGACAAAGAAGTGGAGTCACGGATGACTGAAGACTCTAATGTATATATTCCTCTCGCAATATGCCTACAAGATCAGTATCAGAAGGCTGTGTACATATAACTGCAACGATTTTTGCACGATTGCTGTACAAAAGACCCTGTACCCTGTAATATTACCGTATCCAGTTTAAATTCCAAGTTTATCTATTGACCATCTTCCTCATCCATTTACTCTCTTCCCGATGATATGGTGAAAGTATTGTTTTTGCCAGTTTTGAGTTTGAGTGAAAAAATTCTTTTCGGGTACCACCTGAACCGGAATGGTTTCCGAAGTAATATCTGTGTGTGTGGATGTGTACAGAGCTACAGACACTAGTAGCTCCTGTAACTCCTGTGATCCGATTTTTATCAAATTTGGGTGTTGTTACAAGTCCTAGATTCCTCCAAGCGTATAAAATTTAATTTTTAATTATGAAGGGTATTTTCCTCATAAAAATAACGAATAATGTTATAAAACAAAAATCCTTGACAATTTTAACTTCAAATATCCCTACCATGTAAAAACTCCAGTTAAAATTTTTGCAATTAAAAAAATGTACCCATAACATTCATCATTACCTTCGCTGTTTTCCCAGTTTAATTGTTTGCTTAGAGTAGTAGAATGTTCAATTTCAATTACAAGCTACGGGAGAACGTATTCGTCAGTTAGACGATACTGTTTATTTCCAGTTAATTTTAAAGGAATCGACTCCGTTTTAGATAGAAATCACTTGACACACCACTCCATTAACACATATTGGTGAGAGCTTGGAGTGGAACATTGTAACACTAACCAGAGAAGATCCTTTATGGAGAATGCGGTGTGAGAGTTATGTGGTTCTGGTTAACTGTAACTGAACCAGAACCAGCCGCTGGTGAGAGGCTGAGGAGCGTCTGTACGCGGGACTTTCATATTCAAATGGCACCTCCCCCCCCCCCCCCCGGTGGCTTGCATTGCTGTCGGCGGTAGCGACCGAGTCGAAACGTTACGTTGCGCTGCGAGTATAATGACATGTCTATTTCCTACTGAGTTATTCATCTCGGAACTCGTGTTGTTTCGGGTGCCAGAGACATCTACGTTTTAAAACGCTAATTAATTCGAATCTGTGTGGTGGTTTGATTATGAGAAAAGCCAGTAGCTTTTTATGAATTAGGATCTGCAGTCCTTGCTCGTTGGGATTTTAATCACCAGTTGGTTAAATCACCAGCTGATCTTAGTAATAAAGCTTCACAAGGAATCCCACTCTATTCTACCGTTGATATTAGATACTGGAAGAGTCTGCACCATGGCCACTCTCTGCACTCTCTCTTCTCACATGTTCAGTTTAAAATAACATCAACATCAAAGATAACGTAAAGTAGTAATCGTGTTTTTTCTTGGATGTTAGAGAGTTTAAAGTGTTAAAGCGCTAACTAGCAAATTCATCAAATTACTTGTTTGGCCCTTATAAATCCAGTATATTCTCGATGGATCAAAAGTTCCTTGAGGAATGCGTTTACAAAAAGTTATTCTGATTAAATAAGTTGCTTGCCTGCATTAGTGACAAAGCTGCAAAAGTCATCTCACGATATTCCACATCCTTTGGTCATTTGGGTTGAAATCCACCCGTGGCGTCGTCATAGTGTTGTAGTGAAAGCTAATTGTAGAACCACTATTGATGGATCTCCCTCGTATACTGTTGAAGTCCAGTCTTTTATCGTATCATACGGTTCGTTGGAATTTCTAATTAATGTTAATATGATTTTATCTAT